GGCGTTCGACAAAGGCTATTGGCCCAACTGGACCCCTGGAAACGTTTCGAGTGGCTCGACGTACAAATTATTGGATGAACGTGGCGAGCCTATCGCCGGAACATTTTATCCCCAAGAATAACAGAGTGTGAGAACGGATCCCGACGAAGAGTTTCCCATTGAACGTGTGTTGGATCGTCGCCGTGGCGAAATGTTGATCAAATGGTTGGGATACCCTGCTAGCTTCAATTCCTGGATACCCAAGAGCGCCGTTGTCTATAAATAGTCCCGATGTATTCCAGAGAATGTCACAATATCACAAGACGAAGCCACGTCAACGATTTCTACGTCCCTCTCCGAAAATCGACGTCACTTGTCTTGTTTTGGCAGTCGCATCCCGTAAGCAGAAATTGTCTTTTTCTGTCAAGTGATTTTAGTGTACGTGGTGGCAGGTGTCGCTTTAGCTCAGTTAGCCACACGCCCCGACGGTCCCCAAACCACCCTGTGGACGGCCCTCCTGTCCAGTAGTATTGGCTATCTGCTTCCGGCGCCAGCCCTCAATACCACCCCCAAAAATGACAAATCCCCGCCAGTTTTATCTCACATTGCCTAGTGATAGTTCCATGAAAGTGTATCCCGACAACACATTGTCCTGTTACCATACGCTGCTGAATTCTCCCATCGATTTGGACCACCGAGATTGGGAAGTGGGATTGGCTTCCGTGTCGTTTCCCACGACGTGGAACAATCTCTGGGAAGGAAGTAGCGAAATTAGTCTTATAATCCAGGGCCCTGTTTCACAAAAACTTAAACTAAAATCACTAAAATAGATTTTAACTAAAATCAAACTGAAATTTTAAATTTTATGCGTTTCACGAAGATTAATTGTAACTTAAAATGCAATTTTAATTTATTTTAGTTAAAATTGCTTGCGCTTGCGCAGTGCACAATTCAGTTGAGGGCACTTAGAGTGTGAGCATACACGCTTCGGAACTGAAAACTGTTGCCAGGTTGAACTAACCGTTACAATACCAATGAGGAGGGTTTCATACGTTGTAACAATGTCTGCACGTGGTCGGAAAGTCGTAGAGAGATGAAATAAATAAGTTTATTGCTTGTTATTAGTTTCGAAATGTATCAGTTGGTTGGCCTTGAACTTGCATGTCGTTTTCGTGACCTTGGCATTTGATTTACTCGCAGGCTTCGATGGAAATAATGCGTATCGATAAACTAAATCGCTTGAATTTCGTAGTTTTATGGTATTTTGGATAACAAAAACTATTGAGAAATTGTCACAGATATGTGATATTTCTAAGTCAAACGATTAATAAAGTATTGTCGATTTTTAAAAGTATTTAATAACTTTTTAACTAATACACGAAATAACCAATGTTCCGATGCCTAGATTTGAAATGTCAGTCCCATGGACCCTTTCAATAATAATTTGAAAATGCTAAAGTACCACACTACTTATTGGATTTTTCCCAATATAAAATACCCTTTGCTCCTATATAAATCATCATAACTCCCATGTTCCTAAAGCAACGACCGCAAGTTTTACAACATCATGTACGTAGTTAAGTCGAGATCAAGCCTTCTATTGAAGATGCATAACCCCAAAACCATAAATACTTTGCATATGGCGTATCTAGTATCATAGGGCTGATGGGGTTTCGATTCCCCGGTTGTACGTGACAGGGATAAGGGTCGCCCGCCCAACCTCGTGGGTTTTCTCCGGGTCCTCCGGTTTCCTCCCACTACTAAAGACCCCTACGCGCAAGCGAATTATTCAAATAAAATTGAACCATGTGTTAGTCCCGAAATGACTCTCTCTCTCTCTCTCTCACTCTCTTTGGTCTATTAATTATTTGAAAATAGTATAATTTATAGTTGAATCATGGTAATATAAATAATAGTAACAAAGAGTTTTGTTTACTGGGATTTTGAGGTTTTTTTTGTTTTTTTTTTGTTCTTGGGGTTTTAATTTGGGGCGTCATCTAATTGCTTATATTGCCTTACAATACAATAAACGGGTGGGTCGCAGCTATATTTCAAAAGCAATGAAAAGTAATTGAATGAAAATTATTTTTGTGAATGATAGTATGTTTAAATTATATAACCCTGGCCATTGGCAATATTATCACTATACCAAATATATCTATATGTCGCAACGTAGCTCTAATCAATGTGTGTTAATTTTAAGTTAGGAGATGGTGACGGCTGTCCTAAATTAAAATTGATATTAGTTGAAATTGTCTCTAAAATAGTTTTGTGAAACGCCACTATTTTAAGTTAAGATATAAATTTAACTTACAATATTATTTTAGTGGATTTTATCTAAAATGCTTAAAATCGTTTTATGAAACAAATCTATCTTAAGTTAGTATGAAATTTTAGTTTAAGGTCATTTCACGAGCCAAACGTCCTCGGCCAGACATCTTCGATCATGGCTTCAGCAATGCGTAACGATTCATGTCCTTGTGCTCGCGATGAACTGGAACAATTGTTCCAAATGCCCGACACGCACACGGCCATTACCCGAGTAACAAAAATACGCAAATACGCCATCACACCCGATCTGAATCACGATGGACCGATTGAATTTCTGGTGAACAATGCCAGTACGGATTTCATCGATTTGGCCAATACAACCCTGTACCTGCAACTCAAGGTGGTGAAAGAGGATGGTACCAATCTACCGGCAGACTAACCCGTGGGTCCCGTGAATAATTGGATGAACTCTTTGTTTTTAGATGGGAAAAGCTTATGTTCCGTTGGTCAAGTCTCCTCTACCTAATTACGCCTATCGAGCTTACCTAGAGAATTTACTGAGTTATGGAAAACAAGCCAAGACGAACCATTTAGACCGACAAGTCCTGTGGCACAAGGATACAGCCGGCGAATTTGAACACGCCTCGCCCGTCAAAGTCAATGCAAAGGCCCCCGAACCTGCCAATGACAGGTTGGTGGAGCGCTACAAACGCATCTTTTAAAGCCAGGTGGTAGAATTACAATCACGGTTGCATTTAGATATGTTTTTACAAGAGAGGTACTTAGTGGACCAAGTCGATCTACGTCTGAGTTTGGAAAAACAATCCTCTAAATTTTTCCTGATGCATGCCAACAATAAAGGACCCTACAAGATTGATTTCATCAAAGCTTATTTGGAAATTCCGTTCGTCACCCTTTCTCCCACCACGTACACGCGGATTAAAAACCAACTCCAAACCACAAATGCCAAGTATCCCTTGAAACGCATGGTCGTGGTCGTGCCGAGTAACCGTACCAGCCACGTCCTGGACAATCTGTTCATCAACGAAACCTTACCCACGCGTATATTTATGGGGTTGGTCAGTAACCGAGCTTACGATGGACATAATACCAGGAACCCGTTCCGATTTCATCATCATAACCTCAAGCACATTCGATTGACCATACATGGAATAGTCGTGGATGATTATGCCTATCTCAACTTTGGCGATACATTGGCCCTCACACCGTACACGGATTTAATGAATTGCGTGTGTGTTCTCAACACCCGAGAAGATTTGGATCTCAGTTTCCACGATTATATCAAGGGTTACACGCTGTTTTGATTTGATTTGACCAACGACCGAGGAGCAGACGTGGCCTATTCACACCCCAGAACCAGGGGTAACCTGTCTCTAGAACTACGCTACCCGGTAGCCCCCACTAGCGCTCTCAATCTTATGCTGTTTGCCAAATACGACAATGTCTTGGAAATCGATCGTAACCACCGAGTCATCATGGATTGGTAGTCCTTTATCCACGTTACAATGGGCCAGTTCCGCAATAGGGGTTATTTCGTGTTATTCTCCCTTGAATCGCCAGTAGGTGGCACTCCATAATTACTTCCGGGGAGTTCAATACATAAACAATAGATTTTTTTAACACAGCCTCAAACTTTACGATCGTCTTTGTTCTTTATATTATTTATCGATGGCTGGTTTCGGAAGAAGTTATCTAAGATGGAAAGGTAATATTTTTTTCATATAAACATTTAATATAGTTCGCAAGTGTCGACGAGAAATACCGACGTGTTGGTAAACATTACTTGAATAGTAATAATAATGTATTGTCACGTCAAACAAAATAGAACTGGGTCTACGATGGAAGCCTTTTCCCGCTAGAATGAAATAATGAATTTTCCCATTATTTTAAATTTCAGTAAATTAACCAATCCTGTTTCTGACAAAGTCTCTGAAATAGAACCTGAATGTTCGTTATCTATTCACGAACTGAAATCATGGAAAGTTGCAGAATTAAAGGCATGGCTTGATAAAAATAAACTCAAAAAGTCTGGTAATAAAGAAATACTTATAAAGAGAGTTTTTAACTATATGACAAAGTATGATAACTTATATTCGTCAAGTGATGCTTCTAGTGACGAATTTGATGACTTGAAAGTTACCCCAATTTTTCAAGTCTCAAACCCATGGAAACCATTAGACAGCTCAGACATACCTGCAGTTTCCAGCAAAGGTGTAGATAGCTACTTTATTTACCACAAGAATCCAGTCACTGGTGAACGGTTATACTTTGAGAGACAACTAGAGAAAGCAAAGCGGTTATGCAATGAAGGCTTTGTTCGAGATATCGAATTTAATAAGGTACATGATGAGGCTGGATATTGTTATATCCAGGCCAAGTGTTTGCCATCTATGAGGCAAACTGTTCAAATTGGAAATTGTGGAAATACAGCAAAATTTTATTCATAGCATGTGTGTATTATTCCAAAGACAAGTCATATTCTGAGTGCAAAGTGCAACTGTAAGGCAGGAAGTGCAGGACTATGTGCTCATGTAGGTGCTCTACTCTACACACTAGTCAAGACCAAAAATGCATGCACATCAAATGAGTGTACATGGGACACACCAAGACCGTTACAAAGAAAACCAAGTCCAAAAAGGATTTACGATATAAACTTTGTGAAGACTGAGAAAGATAAGATTGTTGAAAAGGTGAAGCCATACCCAGGTATCAACAATGCAGGACCACATAAAGATTGCTCATTTTTAGATGACATTTTAAATGGTCTTAAGGATGTGCAACCCCAAGCAGTCATATACCAGATATTGAGGGGTGATGATTTCAAAATAGACTCATGTTTGTCTGCATATCAGCCACCTTTCATGTATGTGGACAGTGTTAATTTGAAATCAGATATGTGTACCGATGTCTTTCAGTCATTCTTGGACAACATTAGTTTGACTTCGGAACTATGCCAAGCATTAGAACGATCGACACGGGGCCAGGGTTCTAATCAAAACTGGCTGAAGGCTAGGACTTGCCTAATAACAGCGTCTGTGATGGGGGAAGTGTGTCGCAGGACTACAGTTGCACCAGACAATTTATTGAAAAAAATTTGTAGTTATACTAATGTCCCAAAATATGTCAAGAGTATTGGATATGGGAATGCAAATGAATCCGTTGCATTGGCCAAGTACATGCAGAGTCATCTGCAGACATGTGATGATGTCATCGTTGAAACTTGTGGCCTTTTAGTAAGTGCAAAATATCCATTTCTAGGTGCTAGTATTGACGGGCTTGTTACTTGCTCTAAGTGTGGCACAGGCCTAGTTGAAATTAAGTGTCCTTATGGGAGTGACAAATCTGATATTCACTGGAGAAATATGCCCCCGATGGACTGTGCTAGGGACAAGAATTTTTTTTGTCAAATATTAAATGGCAAGTTAACATTAAAGGAATCGCACAATTATATGTTTCAAATACAAGGACAAATGGCTGTTTATGAACTGTCTTGGGTAGACTTTGTTGTATATACAAAGAAAGACATTAACGTTGAGCGAATTAGATTTTCCCCAACAACTTGGGAAATGATGTACACTAAACTTAAAAACTTTTATCTTGATAGCATTATTCCAGAATTTTTTTCAAGAAGAGTGCAAAGGGGAAAATCATTATATATGTCTTGAATGATATTAAAAAGAAGAAATACGAACACATTTGTAGTTTTTAATTATTTTCTGGTATTTTATTTTAAGAGTGGGGGGGAGTAAATTTGTGAGTGCAGCACATATAAGAACAATTTGCTCAGATAAGTGAACGTCAGATATGGGAAAGTATGAGTTGAGAATTCTATAGTTTTTTATTTGTTCCATTTTCATCTCAACAACGATTCGAGTCGAGGCAATTCTGTTTGTTTTAAAAAATTAATTTGATGACATTTGACACTTAGTTGACACCCGGGGAGGAACATTTAAACCAACATCTGTGGGTAGCAAATCTTCAATTGTGAAGCCTTTGTCAGCCATTACGACATCTCCTGTTACGAGCCTTGGCAAAAATCCACCATGCTGTGCTATATGACGGTCAGACACGGTTCCACCCCAGAGTCTTGAAATGAATGTCACCATTCCACTTGGTGACACCCCAATTAAAACTTTTAATGTGTTGGAGTGCTTATATTCTGACCATGTCATCCACTGGGCCTTAAGAGATGAAGGTTTCTCCATATAAAATTCTGTGCAGTCCAAGACAATTCGCGTATCAGGGTGCAACGAAAACAGTCTTGGTAAATTAGCCATAATTTGCTCTCTGGTTGGCCATGTTATAAGGGAACGGCAGTGGTCATACAGAAAGTTCAGCCATGTATTCATAATCCTTGATACCGTTGTCTCAGATACACGAAAAATATCTGATAAATGTTCTTGCAATAGTCCTAATCTCAAACGCATACACACCATCAAAAACTCGTCCGCCGGTCGAAGAGAACGTTTCCTACCAGGTTTTCTAACGCCTGGTTCATGGTATGTCTTATCACCCATTGACCTCGCTTCCCCTTCCCAGTAGTTCAATTTATCGGCACCATGTTTTAATAATGTCAAATAAAACATCCAGAATACTTTGAAAGATACAAATCCTGTATAGAATCTGGTTTTGCTATCATTTCCTTCAATGTCCTCAAATGTCATTTTTGGTAGGTCAATCTGGGAGCCAACACTTGTAGAAGAAAAAGAACTACCACACTGTATACCAACCGACACAGTCTTAACATCATTAGTATTTACACAAGCATGTGACGTTACTACCACTGGGGTCTGTGTGCAGATTTTCTTATATAGTGTTTCACACCCCTCGATTGCGTCCGGGTGATTTTCAATCTCGGACAAAACTGTTTCATTAAATACTTTTCTATTAAGTGGGCGACGCGGAGTTTCGACTTTCTTCGGCTTACTGGGAAATATTGATGGTATTGATTCGTCCGTGAAGGATCCGTCAAAATGTTCACTGCAAACGCGTGTGTGGTCATTCACTATCAGGTTAGCTCTCACATTTCTCAAGCGTTGAATCCACAGTCGTTTAATATGACATTTCTTTTCTGACATCGGAAAGCGATGTAAGACAACTTTAGCTCCATTTTCATTGTATGAAGAAGATGTATTACTGCAGCCTGGAATGCAGCAGTACTTTTTCCCCCATTGTATTGCATACAAAACCTGAAATTAAAATTAAAATAAATATTGACTATATGTTGGGGTTTTTTTTGGTTTTTTTTTTTTTAAACAACTCAGGCCATGTATTAAAAAAAAAAATAGCCATGAATGAATTTTCTTATATAGTATACATGATAAACGCATGAAAAATAGATGAAATAGTACTAATTTAAAGAAAAAAACAACGGACACTAACAATAATAAAGAAAAGCGAAATCGAAACTAAGGAATCTGAATCGCCCGATCTCGTAAAATACTTTATTTTCCTTCATTTCACCGTGTTTTTAAGACGAGGAAAATAACGATACGTACTTGTAACTACGGGTTTTATTTGTCTGTTGATCTTTTATCTTCAGTCACGCCTTTCTTTTGTCCTCTCTCGTGTCTTTGTTTACGTTGAATGGCCAGCGGGCGACGAACTCCCCGGAAGTAGAATTCGTATAAACTAAGAGTAGACAACTCACGGCAAACTAGATTGCGGAACCCGCCCATTGGAAGAGGCCCTGCGTCATCATTCGGACGTCTTTGGTGGTGTCTGGTCTCGGAATAACCTGTACCGGCTGCAACCCCATACCTATCCCCTAGCCCACATTGTCAATACCGACGACGAACAAGACCCCGGCAGCCATTGGACAAGCCTTTGCCGATTTCAGTCAACGTCACGGACCCACTACCCATCAACCCCAATGGTTACAGAGTTTAACGAGTTTTGTGGGTGGACATTACTGTTTATTTTTTATCTGCCATTCGAAACGATGCCTGCAATTGTTTTGCATGCGCAGGTCACTTCCGGCCCCCTTAGCAACTGTCACTTCCGGTGATGACGCCACGAATAGCGTCATTTCCTGTGATGACGTCATCACCGGAAATGACGCAAATAACAGGAAATGACGTCTTCCTAACATTCATTTTCGGTGATAGGGGATTTCCTCTGGCGATTCCCTTTTTCTCTCGCCCTTTATCGGGAGTTAAATTTTCTCGCCCCTTCTCGTCTTTTCTCGGGAGTTCCCGCACCCCTTTTCTCGTTCTTTCTCGGGGATTCCCTCCCCTTTCTCGTTTTCTCTCGCTCTTTTACGGGGATTTCCCCCTTTCTCGTTTTTCCTCACCCTTTCTTCGGACTTTTTAATAACATTTTTAATAACATTTTTAATAACATTTTTAATTATAGAACTAAATGAAATGAAATGAAATGCAATGGGCTTTAACGTCCTACTGTTCTGCTACTAATCTAGCTAATGAAGACGGGCATACGCCATACAGTGTGCTTTGAGGGAAATTTGGCCCGGGCAGCGGCGCTACGGCCTACTCTTATATCGAATTCCAACTGCCAAGGGATCGTTTACGTGCACGCCAATATGTACACGGGACCTCGGTTTTTTGTCCCATCCGAACGACTAGACAGCTGTCCTTGTCAGACCCTACGTCCTGCATCACTGACAAGGGAAAACCACGCCGGAAAATCTGGATGAACTTTCTCGGCCAATGCAGAGATCGAACACCCGACCTCCAGGCTAGCGAGCCAGCGTCTTACCCACTTAGCCACGTGATCCCCTAATTATAGAACAATAGAACAAATCAACAATTGAACAAGAACGTATTTACATTTTTGAAAAAGAACAACACGTTTGTCCACCCAAATGATTTAAGGATGGAAAATGATTTTGAGCCCATTGGTTCACCAGCACATCATTTTGCCGGGTATTTTGGGATAGCTTGGTCCAACACCAACCCAAAACAAACAAAAAAATCAATTTTAGCATACAAATCCTACGGGATGACATGTTAGACCACACTAATAGTGAAAAATCTAAATTAACGAGCTTGTAAATAAACACAATAGGCCGTAGTTTGTAAATGGTCTCCTGTTTCTGAAATTAATACATTTCCGGATAGCCGGGCTCATGGTCGAAATAGGCTGCCGTTTTGTGAATTCGTCTCCAATTTCCGAAATTGATACATTTCTGGTTAGCCTCCTTCCAGGAATGGTTGGTGGCTTTGGAATCAAAATACTTTCAAAGCGTTTTACGAATCCGAAATCACCGAAATTTGCTAATGAAAAACTTGACCTACATAACTGTAACTTTTTAAATCTATTTTACAAATTCTTTTTTCTTTAGGTACCTTAAAACATTTACTTTAAATCTGCTATTTCCAATTTTCGAAATTCGAATATTACGACATTGACATCTCACCCCGGAAGTAAAACCAACATGACAACTTCTTGAATATTAGTACGATTTTCATGAAATTAGGAATGTAAGTGAAATGAAATGAAATGAAATGGGGTTTAACGTCCTACTTTTCTGCTGAGGAATGTAAGTAGATCTCGTTGATCCAACTTCAACGATGTTCATAGAAATTATTTAAGTTATCTTCCCTTAGAGAAAATAAGGATAAACATAGGTCAGATTACTGATGCGTACACAAAATATGAAGGCTATTAATAGAACTGGAAGTGCCATCATCTTGAAATGTGAAAAATCACTTAGGCTTTTGTGATATTTTACTTACAGACATGGGAGTTACATTGTCTGAATCCTTGAAGGAATGCCTAAAAAACGTCAATGCACAATTTTAATTTCGGTCAACTGAATGTCACCATTTTGAATTGAATATGAAAAACAGTGAAAAATCCACTGTAATGGACGCAAAAAATAAACATAATAGGCCCTAGTTTAGCGAATTCGTCTCCTATTTCCGAAATGAATACATTTTTGGATATTGTTGACAAAATTAATAACATCTAATATCAAGTAATGCCTGGTTGTTATTACAAATTTCTGACCGATTTAATTCGTAACAAATAACCGCATTTCTTGCCCGGTTGAAATGCTTCTCGTTATCCTTTTTGATATTCTTTATATAACCCATGGCATGTTTCAGCAAATGACCGTGAATATGAACGCTTCCATATCTGCCTGGCAGATCTAGAAAGCTTATTGTTTCTGTTAAGATTATTATTATTATTATTAGAGTTTCACACTGCGTAGCTTGTGTGAAACACTGTTGTTTTTGTTAAGGTTATTCTTCTTATTATTAAGCTTCCATATGTATTACATATGAAAGCTTATTGTTCTGTTAAGATTATTATTTTTTTTGTGTATTTTCTGCAAATCCTATTTCTCAGAATCTATCCATAGGATCTTTCTGAAACTTACGAACGAAGAAATTTACCTACATACCTATAACTCTGTGACTATTAGACCTATTCTACTAATTCTTTTTTCTTTGAGTACCATGAAAAAAATCATTTTTATCTGCAATTTCAGATTTTCGAATTTCGAAAATTCGTCGCTGTGATTTCGAACCGGAAGTTGACACCAACTTGACAACTTCTTAAATAGTTGCACGATTTTAATGAAATTGAAAAATGCGACTTGAAAAA